TAGCACACTGTTCGCTTGCCTGAGAAGCGCGATATTCTAGAGACTTGAGTGACTGGTTTCATTCATTCCGCTTTTCCCTGACCCGCACACACACACACCCGGGTACGTTGAGACAACTTTCGCGGTTGTCGTAGTGTGTGTGTGTGTGTGTGACAACGCTGCCCGAAGAGACGAGCGACGATAGATACATAGTCACCATGATACGAAACAGACTACAAACGAAAATTGCAACGCTCCCTATCCACTCTCCGATGTGCAATCTGTCCCTCTTTGAAAGGGGGTTGGACGAATTATCGAACAAGAAAAGATACATGAGGTTGGAGTGATACCCTCGGAGAAGACAATGCACAATGGTGGTTCAAGAATGAAACATGAAGAACCGCTCGAGAGAAACAGCGTCCGGGAAAACATAGGGGGATTGTATAAATATGGCAGCCGGGAAATTTATGGGCCTCTCTCAGACTTCACATCATCACCGGTAGGACGAAAAGAATGCTATAAGGAATAAGTCAATCGGCTTGTTTCCCACAAAATGATATATTCACTCTCTCTCTCTTTCCACAGACACCCACACCCAAAAACAGTGAACGGTGGAGCCGCAGTATAGAGTTTGTCGACAATGGTCATGGTCGCCGTTTCGTGCAGCCGTATGGAAATTGACCTAGGCGTACGGGACATCTAATTTGGTTAACCCTCGGCAAGTCCACATCGATGCTGGAAGCTACATAGGTCTCAATGGGCCTCGATGAGCGGAGGATTCGATGGCAATAAACCACACTTTACCATGGTGAGAAGGAAGAGGAGAGGCACAGATGCGCTAGTGCGAGGGAATACGGTTTCCAGGCGGTAGCAGCTGTCTGTCGACTGTTGATGTCACCCTACATTGTTTGTGAATGAAAATATATGAGATGAACGAGAAAACGTGGATGAAGTCGAACAGTCCTTGGTGAGGATTGTAGTTAGTCACTAGTAAGAAGAACTGCAGTGGCCTCTTCACGTTATTCTTTAAGTTCGGAGCGAACAATGACCAGGGCAGTGAAATATACTCTCAAGGAAAAAGTTCGATCAAGGGTAATTATTGGAAAAACGCGAGTAGTCTGTTTTCAGTACGCTTGTTGAGTGTATCCGCTACCAAAAGTTCCATTCGTGTAATATTCACTCATTATGTGAGACGAATTGGTGATGTCTGCAGAGTCGAGAGATTCGCAAGAGTGATAATTTTGGGAAAGTTTCAGTTCTTGATTGATGCACTGGGTGGTATCATTATTGGATGGGGGTGCTATTATCATATCTATATTGCCCAAAATCTACCAACTTTGATTGTGAGCGGCCCACGAATCTTCCCTATTTTGAACATAACTCATCCCAGATTGGTTCTCGGTTGCTGTGTAGAAAAACCTGGATCTCGTATGTACCCTGTGCGGACATTAAATAACAGTAAAGAAAAGTGATTTTTTGGTCCTGTTTCTAGAAAGAATAACTGCCGAGTACCAATCAACCATCGGGTAAACGAAACGGGTAGGGGAAAGGTGATATTGTCGTTTGCTCGAATGAAAAGATGTACGCTCGAAAACACCAGTCTATCTTACAACAGCCGGGCCAATACAGTGCTCTAAATTAATTTCTGGTTTAAGCGTGAAACTGACATATCTCACGTTGGATCGCATTTTTTTTACGTTGGGGCACAATCCATCTGATGAAGAGATCAATGACGATCAAGTGGTATACGTTATCATCATCATCATCACATTGACTCGGATGTCGTGTTTGAACCTTATCATAGGCTTTGGATAGTTCGCAGCCCACCGCTGAAAATGAATTGCACTTGTCGACGTTGTTGAGTTTTCCGAGCTGGAACACGAAACGTCGGTGAACAACACTTCCAGCTCAGAGAACTCACCAACACCGAGATCCGTAACCCGAGCTACAATCACTCAACATCATTTCCAATTGCACTTGTGTTTACCCAATACAAAAGCAAATAAGAAATCACTATCATAACTAGTCACTATTTCGAATGCATAAAACAAACAAGCAGATTGAGATGAAATGTTCTCATCCCTTAGATAATTTCATACCATACATTGAGGCATATGTGAATAAGAGAACATGCGCAATCCGACACGGACTGACGATTTGGGGTACGAACCATGAACGAAGAGTCCTACACTGATTCATAATGGGAATAATAATAATAGCTACAGTAATAGTAAGAATATACATCCGAGATGGCGAATTTTTAGCAATCATAAAATGCTTGTTCAATGAACAGCATTCATGAATGATGGTAATTCCAGGATACATGAATCACAACTCATCCATTCGTGTCGCGAACACTTTTGCCAAGCACACTCTTAATACGAAGACCTACCACATCCGATAATTGGAGGCTTTCAACATCACAAAAAATACGCCGGACTACGCGTGGATCCTCTGTTTATGTGTCGCATAAGAGAATCTGAGAACAAAGCTATAAAACATCGCATGTCCGTCCCATTCAGATGGAATCAATGCTCTCATGCATGGGTGATGATGTTTTAACTGCCACGTATAAAACATACGTCGGGAAGTTGGAGATCTATCACTCGCGCACCTTACCCGGACCAGCACGAGTAGGTGAAACGGAGCACGATCGTGAGTGAACGGGTGAGAGAGGGAGAACGCAGTGTGTGAGCGCGCACGCGCACTGAACCGGAGATAGACATACAATCAAAACTGTCAAATCGCTCAGAATAAACAATCAGATAACTAAATTACAACGATGATCATCGTCAGCCGCATCATCAACTGTCCCGTCATTAGCATCAATGTCGCGAGGACTAGTCAGTGATGATGATGCAGATTGTGTGTGTGAATAAAAAGCACGATCCAGCGTGCTTCCCGACGGACCGCCAATCAGTTGGTTATCTACGACAGAACGTACGTAACAAATGCGGCAGAAAGTGAAATGCATAAACGTGAGAACGGAACAATGTGAGATTCACATCAACAAGGTTTGAAAACACTTGGGAGCAGATACACTCAACAGACCGACTGCGCAAGACGTCGACGAAATTGTTTGGGTTTGCAGATAAAATGGTGAACAAATTTTAAACACGAGTGAAAACAGTTCCGACACACACGGTATGGGCCGATCGGAAGATTACATGTTTCCGGGTTAATTCACAAGACATTTTTAGCATGTACATGTGGTGGTATTCCATGACCGCAAGGGCAGATGTTGATTCACCGGAAATGCTAGATCTCAACATACACCTACCGACTGAGGAAGCACAACGGGGAACGCCAGACAATTTGACTACTTGACTATGTGATCGAACCAACCACCATGC